TCAAGGATTCTATTTGGTTCGTTTCGCCAGCGTCATGTTTATTTATATGGGCATGTATGTGACCTCTAACTGTTCGTTTTGGCCTGTGTCACAAGCGTTCTGATTCCTGAAACCATTAAAGGACTATCTAGCCGCCATCAAAGCTCTTTCATGCATGGAGATGTTCCTCTTGGCGCTGAAATCATCTGTTACGTTTTAGCGGACAGCCCAAAGCCATGGCCGTTTATCAGTTTGAGTTAGCCAGCCACATCCCGCACTGACAATGATCGTAGATTCCTGTATGTTCTATGATGATCTCGCTGTCTATGAAGGCTTTGGTGGGATTGTGCTAGTAAAAGAGGAGGGAGAGAACATATCTCGTGCTCTAGGAAGCAAGAAAAATCTCATTCTCCAGAATCACGGGTTAGTCCATCCCAGCATGCCCTGGACTGCTCTTCTCTTCTAGTGATATTTTCTGTCACTACTGATCTGATTTCGTGGTTTGTGAGAGAGGCTCTGCATATTTTGCACTTATACTATAGTTAAAGCCCTCTAACATAGCAAACTCGTATCGGCAGACTTATCACTGCTGGCTCGACTGTCGGCGAAGCAGCAGCCTTTTTTATCGCGTTGGAAAGGGCTTGTCAAACCCAGCTGCTAGTCGAACACGCTTTGACCCATACTCCTGGCTTGCAAAAGAAATATGTCGGGGACGACGAAGCTGCATACACCAAAAATGCGTCTAGATCGCCTGCAGCGACGCATATGCAATTTGTGCCGGAATATGAATTGATTTGCAAGGAAACGGAAGGGGATTTTACCAAATAGTAATAAGTATACTGGGGATTGTAGCAGCGAAACAGATACAGGATGGGTTTGAGAGAGAAAGTAACCAGAAAGTTTTGATACCATTCTTTGCTTGCCGTGTCACTCTATTCTTCGTTAGTTTTCATATTTCTGGGCATTGGTGCGGATTGCTATTTTCTGGAAAATCTTTTGGATCGCAGCAGGTAATGAGGACTTTGTAAATGATAATGTGGGGAGGTTTAACGGAGCCCCTTTCTGTTGATTAACATATCAACCGTGCTGATAAGTTTAAGGTCCCTCTAATCCCATATGACCTATCAGAAGAATAATTTGAATTTCGCTGGATGTGGTGCCAGATCTTCAGTGTGGAAAATTCGGAGGGAACCAGGCGATTGAACTTGATAGGAACCATGATGCAAAAGTAAACATCACCCGGCCCTTGTGGATCGGCTTTCCAACGGCACAGTTCCCAAGAAAAATTAGCTTTGTAAAATGTGATCACCGTGGAAAAGTTGTCTGTTATAGGCCACACCAACTCTCGCCTCGAGATTCCATGGGCAACTAGTACTTCTTCCTCTTCGGCGCAAGATGGAAAACAGCCACTAAATCATTTGAGCATTCCCACAATTCTTAATTTTTACCGCCCTGTAGCCTTGCAGAGTAGAAATTTAATCCAGCCCACTTTTCATAGTGAACAAGGAGTTGATAGTTTTGGACTTGCTCGAACGTGGCAGAAAGTTGAAGGAAAAATTCGTTAAACCGAATCATGTGGAACTATTGCTGACGCCATTGGCAAACAAGTACGGAGTAGGCATTTTTACTATCATTGTATCTATCCTTGCTTATTCTTTCAGCCCTCTTGCTGTCGAGGTTGGGCGGGCTAACCAAAAGTCTCCATCGTCTCTGCCGCCACGTGGGAAAAATCGGGTGGATTTTAAATTGCGGAGAATTGAACACACAAGGCCAGCCTGATGGATTGCTGTTGATTGGTGCCTCCTTTCATGATGTTCTGCGTCGTCCATACCGGTTATTATTTTTGCCGTGATCCTTGCAAATGCGTTCTTCCGGCCTTCTTCACACATGTTGTGAACGAAACGCAAGGCGCTTAATGTGCACTCGGTGCTGCTATCGGATTCGTAACTGGGGATGAAACTTCTATGGTCTGAAGGCGCAAAGGTCCTGACCCTTGATTGGCAACGATCTTAACAGCTGGGTCAGGAGGCATGTTTCATAGTATGGTACCTGAGGCAACATTTTGTATGGACTGGTTGCTGTGCAATCTTATGGAAAAGATTCTGACATTTTAACACTCAACGAGATTTTTGGTCGAGGTGGGCTTGACATTGATGATATATGTTCGAAAGTGCCATGATTTAAGAGAATCCACAGCTACTATCGAGAGCTGTCATCTATCCCGAACATCATGTAAAACTCCTCAGTTGGTGACATACTTTGATCCGTCAACATAAAATGTTAGTTGCCTTTCTGTTAGTGGAGGGCTCACAAGCGATCGTCGGTGGTCTTCGTTAATCTCAGCCCATTTTTCATTAGTTTGAGTCTTTATCTGACATCCATGTCTCACCATGCTCTCGAGACACATGGCTAGTTGAAGCTACTTTGTAAGGCTGCTCAGTCATTGACAGGATTTGGCAAGCGGACAAGCCTTCAGGTTGTCCGGTTATGTTGGACGTCATCACTATTCTTAAAGAGCAAGTTGGTTGAATAATACTACGGATAAGCAGGATTCAGAGGCCTCCTTGAATATTTCTGTAGATGGCAACTGGAGGCTCAAGAGTCCCGTGATGCTCTTGGCTAGCCAGATTAAATGATTATAACTTCAACGTTCCAACATACATCTCCAAGTAAACACATCCCAAAGCAGCAATTGCAGACCTAACTTAAAGTGGTTTGTGGCCAGATGGATTGCTTGGAAATTGAGTGCAGATTCCTATGTTTCTTAATGTAATTTACCAACAAATCAGCGTGGGCGATCTCAGCTTGAAGCTTGCCCTTCGCCCTGGTCAGTGGTCAATTCGTCCCTCTTCCTTCCATGCCCCATTCAATGGACAGGATTTGACCTCCTGCCACTTGTTCAGTCATCAGAAAGGCGATCAGTCGCGTGGCATCCAGCCCGGTTTACCATGCGCCAAGGCCACACTAGTTTGCAGATTCCATGCCCACGCTGTCCACTGGGGCCACCACATATCGCGCCAGCATTCAGGCTCGCCCCTTTCTCAAGGCTGAAACAAGATCATCCCCCTCAGCAACACAGGAGACTCCTTGCGGTTTTGTCTCCAGTCTGTTTTGATTACGTCCTCTGTCCCATGTACCTGTCCCTGTCCTTGCCCTCTTATCCTCAAAGGAACTCCTCCGTCGTCACAATACCATTTCCCACCCATTTCTGAGCCGATTGGACTGCATGAATCCAGTCACGGAATTTATTGCTATATATAAATCTGACCGGTCCCCAGCCGCCTTAACGCGCCTTTGTTCGACTTCAAAATGTCCGCCGCACAAGACGAAGTCGACCGCCTCCTCAATCCCAAAGAAAAGGTCTCCTGTCACCCGGAAGACCGTCCTACTTCAGACAACGATTCAAACCTATCATTTTCGGAGGAAGAGAGCCTGACATTCGTTCACTCCGATACCGAAGACGATCCCTCCCCCAACATGATTTCAAAAGCCAGCGGCTACCATATCCCTACTACCGTCTTCGAAGCGAACACTGGGCCGAAAGGCGTCATTGCGGATGCCCAATCTTTCGAAAGGGCGAAGAAACGCTCATTCCGTCGCACGTTTATGAACGTCGCAGGCCTTGAACATACCTACTACTCCAACTCGACGAAAAGCGAACAGGACACGCAACAGGCCAACGAGGCATCACCGCCGCCGGATGAAACTGAAGATGAACGCTTCATGCGCCAATGGCGAGAAGCTCGTATGCTGGAGTTACAACGCAAAAGCAAGAGACGTGTAAGCCCCAGCAAGCGAAGGTACGGAACCGTAGAGGTAGTTAATGCAAACGGATACTTGGACGCCATCGAGAAGGTGACTCCAGATACCGTTGTTGTCGTTTGTATATACGATCCTGAAGTAAGTGGGCATCTCGTTTTAACATTCACCCAGACCATAGTACATCATCCTAATCTCCTGTGATCTCAGTCCCCCGAAAGCAACATCGTCGAGGACTGCCTGGCTACCGTGGCCCGGAAACAGGCTACCACTCGATTCGTTAAACTACATTATGAGATAGCAGAGATGGAACATGTTACTCCACCCGCCCTACTGGCTTACAGAAATGGTGATGTCTTCGCTACAATAATGGATATCTTCCATCAACTTCCCAGTGGACGAGATTGTAGCTCTGCGAGCCTAGAAGATCTCCTGATGCAGTATGTTCCCTTTGTCTTTCCTTTTTTTTTTATATATATAAATTGTTCATTCTACCCCAACTCTGTACGAATAATTGATTAACGTATTCATTTTTCCAGACACCGAGTTTTCTGATTGACCATCCCTTTTATTTTTAATTTCTATTTCTATTTCTATTTTATTTTTCAACTATGATTCCCATTCGTTGTCGCAATATACCCCATCCTTCATGCTCTCTCCTCTTCAGATTCCCCAGCCGCCATGATAAAACGAACCTCCCCCACTCCATGAAATGCAGAATTACTCCCCAGGATAGCATTGTTGCATTGGCGCAAATTTTTGGCTTGTTGATTTTCTCACACGTTACCCCTTGGAGTTATAAAACAAAAGAGAAGACTAAGAAAATACATTACGGATATGGCCCATCATTCGTGTACGCTTTCATTCGCTCAAGAACTCTTAAGGTTCTTATTTCACGTATAAAACTATAAGGCGGCAATTGAGGCTTCTTCATAAATGGAAGGATTTATGCGGGCCCCATGTAACGTCCTTGCCCTTCCTATACTATCCTTCTGGCGCTTCTTTTTTCGTTTTATCTTCTCTGATTTTTTCCCTTTTCCGTTTCTCCATAACTAGCCGCTTCCGTTATGTAATATTAATTCTTCCCTTTCTATCGCTTACTTCATCTTGATTTTGGTTTTGGTTCAATATTGGATTTTGCGCCTTTATAATTTTTGCCAGTTGATATCCTGGTGCGCTCGTCTACTTGGACTCTACTAGTTCAATCCTCTATGTTTCAGTGTCTTGTTGGATATACTGATCGAAATACATTTCTCACGCCTAAAGTGTTTTCACTTTCGTCCGTTTATTGAAGCATTTTCCATTATGAGCGACGACATATACATGCGTGATAAAAGGAGAAACAGGATCTCATCTTCATTCTTTTCTGCTTCTTCTTCCTCTTTTCTTTCCGTCCTCTTCTCGTTCTGTCTCTTAGATTGTCTTTTTTCTAAACTGCAAGGAAACTGCAAGGGAGTGAACAGCCTGTCAATTTTTTTTTTTTTTTTTTTTTTTTTTTTTTTTTTTCATACATATATTTTTTGTTTTGTAAAACGATGCGATGTTGCTATAAACTAAGGATATTTATACGTGAGGGCGGATCATACACAGCCCTCCAGAAGGAAAACAACAGAAGCGGAGCGAGTGGAACGATGTGTCCATATTTAGGGTTTGTCATCTATGCTGACAGTCATCACTCCTTGTTGCCCTTGCATGGCACCGGCTGTGGTGTTGTGGTATGAAACCCAAAAAATCTTGTCCGGAGATTATCCTCCAAATATCCGTAAGTCGAGTCGATTTAGCAAATTCTAGACATCGCTGAAGAAATAAATAAATCATAGTCCTGGTACAGTGCGTATATAATATACCTTATCAACCCCCATAAACCCCTTTGCTATACTATGTAGCAAAAATAAAATTTATTGACTAGGAGTTGATTTCTTTTCCAGCCCCTCCAATTAACTAAATAATCGTTGTGTATAATAATAAGATCCCACAACCTTATGTGAGTCTAGACCGCTTTCCCACATGACCCAGGAACTAGAAGTGCAGGGTATGGCATGTCAAGACTCAACACTACGGAGTAGACAGACAGGCTTTTAATTCTCACCCGGCTCGTAGGCAATCCTTCCCTTACCCCCACAGCGTTATGTAGAATTGCAAATGAGATTCTTCGTCCACATCATCCAGATCCCGTTTAACTCATCTGGTACGGCCCGGGCGACCATGCCCGACGGCTGTGGCAGGTAGTAGGGCCAAATATCCCTACGGTAGCTCCCATGCCGAATATAGAGCCACGTCGATACAATAAGACGTGGATGTTTGCCGTTTGACACAGACCGCGGGCGTTATGGGGCTTAAGCATTTCGACAAAAGAATTTAGCTTGCGCCGATTTCCACAAACCTCGCTCGCTTTGATGCTGGTAACAGCTGGGGTCTGTACAGTACATCACCGTGTAAGAAGATACTGGGGCTCTTCAACTGAAGCTTGTCGCTTCTTATTATCTCGTATCTTGAGGTCCATATACTTAGCATGCTCGTACAGTACAAACCCAGAGGATGAGAGTTTGCCATACTGTAGCAAAGTTGTCATTCGCCATTCTGGCTTTAACTTCTCCAGGGATATTACAGAAGGCAATTTTTCCATCTTGATAATTGCAACGTAAATCGCTGCATCACAGTTGTGTGTCCGGACTTCCGCCACAACTAACCCCCACATCTTTTCTGTTAGTCAATCAAGGTTCAAAAAAAAAATTTGAATCAATAAGCTGGTGGTATCGAGAATGCCCCCTTTTTTTCCCCCCCACCTCAGCTGAGTGTTTAGTTCAGATCAATATCGACATGAAGGAAGCTAAGGGGGAGAAGCATGAAGTGTCAATTCATTGTAGTTTTTCTGCCAACAGCATTCAAATAGGCGCGATGGCGGAGTGGTTAACGCGAGAGACTAGAACCGGCTATTGCCGAACTATCTATCTCTTCCCTTCGGGGGCGTAGGTTCGAATCCTGCTCGCGTCGATGTTTTTTTGTTTTTTATTTATTTCATTATTTCTCTAGCTTTATTGATGTTTTGTGATCCATCCCCAAATTTCCCCCGTTTCCATTCTACGATATCCTCTGTGTAAGCTGGTTGTGTAACTAACTAGTAGTATTATGTAGACACGAGATAAAATTCCATTTGCGCTTGTTGGCTTGTAAAGAATGTAACTGCACCTTGCACAGTGAAATCAATTGAAATCTAATTCAATTAAAAGAGAACTTCGCAGAGGAACAAGAGATGAAAAAAATAATCAAATTTCAACCAAGGGGTAGGTAGAGTGCTAAATCCTTGCCACATAGCAGAGATGTACAACAGCCTCAGATTTTTCTTTTCTTTTCTTCCCCCCCCCCCCCACCAGGATAAACAATAGACAAGGCAAACATGAATGCAAATCATGAAGAACAACGCCCGCCAATGGGCGAAATGAAAATCAAGAGAGGCCTTTTTTTGCCCCATCATTCCATGAGTGGCCAGGGGAGTAAAAGAAGGGGAGAGAGAGAGCGCATGAAAGGAAAAGGTGAAGAAAAATACAACGCAACTGGCTGAAAAATAAAAGGTGATGGACAACAACGGCGATATGAGAAAATAGTAAAAGGAAATTAATAAGAAAAAAGAAAGGGGAAAAAACGAGACTGTGGCATAATTTACATCATAGAAAAGGGGTGGGGAAGAACTAAATGTCGAAGGGCCCTTGAGACCAAATAATCCACGCATGATTCTATTTCATCTGTTATCCATCAAGAAAAACAAAACACTGAATGGGAAGGGAAAACAGTATCACTTCAGTCAGAGTCAGGGAATGAAGGCGACCCCTTTCCCCGTACTCATACAACTCCCTTTTCTTGTGTGAAGTCCCACAGCATCTTGATGAGGGAGTCGGGAAGAGTGTAGAGATCAACATGGAATTCGCCCTCTGTATTCGTGACATGTCAGTACTGTACACATGTGTGCGCGTGAGAGGAGAGAGTACAATGGCACCAGAAAACCTACGTTCAATATCATTTTTCGTGTACGAGTCTGAGGACTTATTATCGTGGACCATCTGCACAACTTGGAGGAGGTCATCTTCCCCAAGCTTCTGAAGGCCGTCTGCCAGTTTATCCATGTCGACCTAATAAATGTCGAAAACATTGGGATATCGTCAGCGAAAAAGGGGCACTCCTTATCTACTTGGGCGAAAAAGATCCCGGTAAAAGGAAACGACTGGGACTTTGGGGTACAACAAACGTACATTCTTATCTATCCGCTTCTTCTTCTTGGAACCCTCATCCTGTGCACCTCCACGTTTCGATTTGACACCATTCTCATCACCAGGCACAGGGCCATATTCGCGAAGAACATTTAGTAGAGCTGGTTTGGGGTTTTTGAAAGTCTTTGACACTCCACCCACATTGCAGGTACATAATAACATCAGTCTACCTGCATTCACAAAAGAAACAAATAAAACAATATCAATGAGGAAAGGGGGATGCGGTTATTAGTTTGGTGGTTCAAGGGTACACTCACAAGAACATGCTTTGACTCATACTTATTCTGCTGAAAGTGTAGATCATGATTGACAACATGCTCTTTGTCTAGAACTGTGAAGCCAATTTGCATATCAAATTCACCCCAGCCTTCCTCTTCAATTTTAAAAGGGGCAGATTTGAAAGCTAGATTTTATCCATCACATTGTGAAACATTGTCAGCAAAATGACACTATAAACACACAAAAATGCAGCCACAAATGCATGCGTCTATGTGCAAATAGCAGCTATTCATTCAACAGCATCACCATCACACATACTCTGTATAGCTCTATTCCCAAAACTCGGATGCAGAGTGTAGGTGACCTTGTCAAACATCGTCGCGGGGACATCCTCGCCATGCTCGTTCACCAGGTAAACCTCAATCGACCATTTCCGTAGCGGCAATTCGACCTCCGACGCCGTCTCACCATCCCTGTACGGGCAAAGGCTCGTGTAAGCATCCGCTAATAGCTATCATATAGATATTCCATGGTGTGTGCGGGGCCCCTCAGTTTTGCACGTATACAGATGTATATATATACGCGCACACTCTAAGAGCGAGGTGGGGGTAAGGATCCCCAAGTCCATTTCCATTCAGGACTTATTCATCTGGAGGGATGACAGGCAAGTGTCCCTCCCACACGGCGCACAAGCTTCTCGCAAAAGCCAATATACACGCGAAAGGGCAGAGGGATGTATAGCCTGCGGGCTAGGCGAGCAATTATGCCGGTTGGGAGGAGAGGGTTATTGAAGGGGAGTGGAGGGGTAGAAAGAGGGGGGAGAGCGAAATGTTGGATTGGGGGCAAAGCACGAACTTGAGCTTTTGCTCTGTAATGAGCTTGACAGTGCGTTTTACCTATAATACCCCATCCAGTCAAGGAAGGGGATTGGGTCAGTCAGAAATCTCTATAAGGTAAACGGGGGGAGTTTTTGGGGGAGAGTCAAAGGTAGGCAAGACGACGAACGCGCCGCCGCCCATCCCTCTCGCATTTCGCGCCAGATGGGAGATAGGAGGGGTCGGGAATACACGAGAACTCACGTCAGGCATATCTATATGCGTATTCCTCAGCTTCTTCTTTTTTCTTCTTTTCCCCCTCGTTGATTGCGTGGGCGCTGGGCGGTTTTGGGCAGTGTTGTTGTTTTCAAAGTTTATGGACAGCGGGTGGGGTGGAGAGCTAAGCTATTCGGGCTAAAATGTTTTAACGCCTGGGAGCTTTCCGCGAGATGGTTAGTTCGCCCAAGCAGTCTCAACTTTCGAACGATGGGGTAGAAAAGGGGGATTTGGTGGCGGGCTCTGAAATACAAAAAGTTATTCTCGAGATGGTGGGCGGGGAAACTGTGGGAGCTCGTTCTTTTTTACGAAGTTGCTATGGTTGCACCCCCCCTATCATGGTATTTAATTTGTTACGACAACAAGAGAATCTCCACAGGAGGCTCTTTCTACAATAGAATAATAAAAAGACACCCTCTACCCGCAAAATG